ATATATATATATATATATATATATATATATATATATATATATATATATATATATGACTATATAGCTATATACATACATATAATATATATAATTTATTTACAATTTATAAAGATACACATACACGTATAGCTATATATACATAGCTATATACATATAACTACACATATCATTATATATAAGAAACTATAACGTTTTATAATTTTATAATTTGCTTTAGAACTGCGAGTGATGTATCTTTCACTGACAATTTCATTTCGAATTTTCTTCAAATTTTATCGGAGCAATACATAACGCATAAAACAAAAATGATATTTATAAACGTAAGATTTACGTTTGGCCAGCAATTGCGCACGCAGTAATAAATATGTTCTTGTTCCGTGATATTGTAAAGTATTACTATATTTTATGATAATTCTATATTTTATGAAATATCCTGAATTAGAGCGTAATGCTGAGCTCCGTGTAATTAACCTATCATGTATAGTTGAGCTTACGCTGTTTCGGGATACACGTCTTACCAGTAGATAAAAAAAAATTTATATACACAGATAATTCTTTCTCGTCATTGATCTCAAACAGAGGAAATGAATTGCAACGAATACCGCGACTATAATTGTACCAATGGAACGTAAATGACTTGCATCGGCTGCATGCCACGAATCACGGTCAGTCACTGCGTGTGCCGACGTCATTTCCTTGAAAAGAGAATTTCAAAATTTCGAATTTCTTATTGTTTCTTTTTTTCGCACATATATAAAGTTTACATACTGCATTAGTTGCTCGTATTTTTACTAGTATTTCTGTCGACGGAATGCGTGAAATAATAAAATTCACGAAGACCACATTTTATCGATATGTGAAAGAGTGATATAGTGACAGAAATAAATGCAAATGCCATTCACAAATCTATAGTAGTCAAGACACTTTTGAACTTATATGTCGAATAGGTAAAATACCTTTATTCACGCTAATTCAAACTTAATTGTTATATTTTCGTAATATTTTGTTACTATGTATAGACCAGAGAGAGAGAGAGAGAGAGAGAGGGAGAGAGAAAGAAACAAATATGAGGAAAACCTGAGAGTGACTACGCTGGTGTTATCATATCACCTTGCACGACTGATTGATACGCCACCTGGGCATATTTTTGAAACAGAACTATTTAGTTACAACCATTTTCTGACCCTGCTGATAAAGTCTTGATTTGGTGCGTGTCCATGCTACACTTACAATTTTAAAAGAGAAATATCCCAGACAGCACAGTGTCCAAAACTGGAACATAAGATGTCTTTAAGACATCTTTAAGACAATTTAAAGACGCCTTATGTCCAGACGTCTTAAAGTCGACTTAAAGATACCTTAAAGACGTCTTATGTCCCAGTTTTGGACATGTGTGCTGTCTGGGATTCCACCAAAATTTATATATATGTAATTATTATTAAAATATTACTATATTAGTAAAATAAATTTTTTTACATCAGAATACAATATGTAATAATTGTCTCTACTAAAAAAAAGCAAGTTAATACTATTAAAACGTTACTTACGTTACTTTAAGGCCTGATTGCACTAACACTATTTTAGGTTTAAGCGAAACTTAAACATATATATATCTTTATCTTTCTTTCTAAATGAATAAAGACAGACGTATATTTAAGTCTCGCTTAAAACTAAAATAATGTTGGTGCAACCGGGCCTAAGATGTTATAAAGTAATTATACAAGGTATCTCAAAATAATCGAAGCTGTTATGAGAACATAGAACCGATCGAAGTGAACATAAAAGTCTTATACCGTTTTGCGATATTCGTAATAATAACCAAGAAATTAATTGCGAAAGATTAAGGAAAAGCTGTGCTAAATGTATGTTTAAACGACCTGTTCTTTCATACAAATATCATTTCATTTAGAATTAAATGATCTGCAAGAATTTTCAGCATATCATTTTTAACGTCACAATCCAAAATGGCCACGACAAGTATCCAGTAGTCTAGTATCTAGTTAACGTCAAAGTTGCTTTGTGGTTAAATTAATAATATTCTAGACTGAAGTAGATCCAAATTGCTCTGGGAGCGATTCATATCCGCTTTAGTCGAAAAAATATGTAATATTTTATTTAAATCTAAATTTCACTAAATAATTTAATACGCTATAATATTTCATTTCAATATCTATCATATACAAAGTGTCCCAGAACAATCTACGAAGCTATCGTGAGAACGTAGAGTGGGCCGAGGCGAACATAAAAGTCCTATACCGTTTATAATAATAACCGAGAAATTAATTGTGAAAGATTAAGGAAAAGCGTGCGCTGAATGGAAGAAGTGCTCAACTCATAGTAATATAGCGTGGCCCAGTAATATAGTGCGCAGATGTCGGTGCGTGGCGATTGTAAGAACAACACACCACTGCCTATGCTTATAACGTTGCACTCTTATATCTCGTCTCGGCGCGATGCGGCAGGACATAGAAGCGCAATGATATAAGCATAGGCAGTGGTGTGTTGTTCTTTTATTCGCCACGCGCCGACATCCGCGTATATTACTGGGTCGCGCTGTTACTCGAACGCTCCGTCCTCTACCATTCAGCGCGCGCTTTACCTTAATCTTTCGCAATTAATTTCTCGGTTATTATTACGAATATCGCGAAACGGTATAGAACTTTTATGTTCGTCTCAACCCGCTCACGACAGCTTCGTAAATTGTTCTGGGACACCCTGTACATGATAGATATTAAAATAAAATATTATAGTATTTTTTTCGACTGAATCGCTGCCGGAGCAATTTAAATCCACTTTGGTATAGAACACTATTAATTTAACCACAAAGTAACTTTGAAGTTAACTAAATACTCGCCGTGGTCATGTTGAATTGTGACGTTAAAATTAGAAATGATATGCTGAAAATTCTTGTAGGTTATTTCTAAATAAAACGATATTTGTATGAAAGAACATTTCAGATCGTTTGAGCATACATGTAAAATATTCTGAAGCCCTATTCCGTAACCACTTATCGACAATTGTCGGATCGGTAGACATCGTTGCACAGCTTTTTTATTACCATAGAAAAGCTGCGCAACGACGTCTACCGATCCGACAATTGTCGATAAGTGGTTATGGAAGAGAGCCCCTGAACACTATTTTTTTCTTAATAGTCAATAAATAACTATAAAATAAACATGACAAAATCCAGGGTTCGGTAAGTTAACTTTTTTTAAACTAAGTTAAAGTTAATGGCTTTGAAAATTTAACTTAGTTAAGATAAAGTTAACCCACAATAAAATTAATTGAATTAAAAGTTAAGTTAATAAAAAAAAGTAATTAAAAAGTTAAAAGTTAAATTTGTTTCATTTCATGATTTCAGAGTTTCAATTTTATAAATAACGGAAAAAACAAATATACACCTTATTTGGAAACATGTTTTATTTACAGATACTTATTACATTTAAGTAATAAAGTTTTATCGGACATTTTTCCTCGAAGATTGTCGAAAATGAGCCCTCCTGCACTGAACAGCCTTTCGACGTCTCGCAACACTTTTATGACATGGTTAATCCTAGGTAGCAAGATGACGTCTAAAGACGTCGTTAAGATGTCATTAAGACATCATGGACGTCTTAATGACATCTTTAGACGTCACCTTGCTACCTGAGATTTCAAGATAATTGAATTAAAAGTTAATAATTACCGATAAAACTAAGTTAAGTTAAAAGTTAAGAGCGTAAAAACGTAACTAAGTAAAGTTAAAGCTATTTAACTTTTTAACTTCACTTTTAACTTTTTAACTAGTTATTACACAACTCTGACAAAATCATATAGAAAGATAAGTTAAAGAAAAAAGTTGCATGTCACGTAAATAGCACAGATCTATACAAGATATCTTAAAGATGCTCTGAGAACGTCCCTACATCCTGAGAACGTTACCAGGACATCCCCTAGAGATTTTGTGCTGTCTGAGGTTAATTTTCCCACTATTTATGTCAAGGGAAAAGAATAGTTTGCGGAGTATTTTACAAGTTTAAGCGAGTAAAAGCGTTCTTTCATATAAATATATGATTTTATTTTTATTTGAAAATGACACACAAGAATTTTGGATATTTAAACATAGTTCATCAGTTGAATGCATCAGTTTTTACATACATCGCTACTTTGAGTTTTGTTTAAATAATCACTTAAATAATTATGCAAATTAAAAAACGAATATAAAATATCACATATGAATGTCATGTTATATACTATGTGCATGCTGAGAAAAATGGCATGTCACATTTGGGTAGTGTTACTTGTCAGATAGCACAGAAAATTAAAAAAGAATTCAAAAAGATCTAGTAGCACAGTTTATTGGCCTACTATTAGTATACATTGGATCAATATATAGCCAATATTGGTTATAAATAAAATGTGAATAAATTGCCAATATTGCACAACATGATTGTACTAATATTGGCATATATTGGGTGTACATTGAGCCATATAACTCAATATTGGTAACAAATGAATTGCTAATATTCAGGATTGTATATTAGCTATAAAATACAAAGTATTTACTTTACAATATTGGGCCAGTATTGGATATATTAGGGCTCAATTTGTAGCCAATATTGACCCAATGAATTGTTCTAGGGATGATTCATATACTGTAGAGTATCGAGTAAAATTTCTTTAAAAGAAATATAGATTGCATTCCAAAACGTCCTTTTGAAGAAAGTTTACTCAACATTCTATAGTATATGTAATACGTGAACAATAGGTGTTGAGTAAAATTTTCTTCAAAAAGGACGTTTTGGAATGTAAACGTCCTTTTTGAGGAAAATTTTACTCAAGACCTATAGTTACATATATTATAGAATATATATCACGTTATATATATTATAGAATATCGAGTAAAATTTCTTCAAAAAAGATGTTTATATTATACTAGAATTATATTCCAAAACAATTCTAGTATAATATAGACATCTGTAAACTAACCTCAACCTTATAGACATAGCACGGACCAGAACCACAAAATTGTGGACATTATCTCTTATTTACTAAGAAAAATAATAAACACTGGCTCTATGTAATTTATATCTATAAAATGGATATAAGTGTTTCAAAATAATATTTGAATAAGAGCCGCTGCCATGGAACAGTTCTCAAGCCTCTTTTTTGCTGCGCGACGTTTCTCGAAAAAGACGCCAGTCGGTAAAACAGAGCTCTTCCTCGCGGCCGATCGGACGTAATCGCGCGTGTTCGCGACACGCCAGTCTTATTCCAAGTATTCAATGACGAAGCGAGATATCGATTCGGCGTCCCCGGCGCCGCCGCTGCGCCGTCATACGACGGAAGATTCGCTTGCGCATGTTTGACGCGTTCACGCGTCTTCTCCCCTGTCAAAACAGTTATGCGATCACTTTCGCGTAGTGCGAGTGCCGTCGTGAACGATTCGCGCGCCGGCTAACGTTCCCGCGGACGCTCCCAGACGATTGTAGCACGGCTGGTTTCCCAGGGCGCTGCGCGAGAATCGATATGCCAGGAGGGCGACGGCAACCCGTTGACAACAAATACACGGGCTAAACAATGGATCAATACCGATACCTCACGGCGAAGGGCAACCCGTAGGAAACGGTAATGAATCGCCGTTCGTTGTGCGCGCAAGATCTCTCGGTCTCTCATACACGGCTCTCGTGACCAGCGAACACACCGAGGTAAAGTTCCTGAGAGAACATCGCAACGTCGGCTCACCTCTCTCGTGTGACGCACGTACGTACGATTGACCTTTGATCCTTAGCTTTATGAAACGAACACCGTAGGATCTTTCTTTCTTTTTTTTCCTCTCTCTTTCTCTTCACATCTGCAGGTGTGACTCAAACAAAGATGTCGATTATTTCGCACACGCGAATTTCCGCATTTCTAACACAAAATTATCTAGCGCAATCCCGCGCAATTTTCTCTCTTCATTTTGGAACGTGCGAACGATAAATTGAGAGAAATAAGAAGATATTCTGAAAGGCCTTGACATTACGCGCGTGTTCTAATTTTTTTGTCATAGTGACATTACGTAGACATTACGTGGGAGACACGTTTGAAATTATCGACCGGCTAGAAAAAAGTGCTTATTCGTATACATATTTTACCGACAAGATATTCCGTAGAGTCTCGACGAGTATCGTCGACTCTTCGAGTAAAAAAAATATCTTACTCTTCACGTATTATTCACTTATTTAATTTACTTTTATACGGGAGAGAGACATCAATGAGCCTCTCTTTTAGCTACGATGACTAAACTTTCGATCGGTGCAGAAAAGACACGTTGTCATCAAAGAATCATCGAATTACTAAAATTTCAACCGAGAGTTATTTAAAATTGGCTGAATCAGTTTTGCGTTAGAATGTTTAAGCTTTTATCAAGCAAATGTTGTAAATTAAGGATTGCAGATCGAAGATTGAAACTTGACCAACTTGGAATAAAGCCAACTAAGATCGAAATTAGTTGCTTCGTCAAATTTTAATCTCTAATCCGTAATCTATCTTCAATTTATATTGCAATTCTAGACAAAACTGTAAAACTTGTTCTCGTAAGACTCGTAAGAACTTATGAATAAATCTGCAATTCTATGCAGACCGTATGTCATATGATAACTCGTATCTACGATTTTTGTTTTTTTTTAAGCTACGATTTTACGCTTTACTCGTATATTTCCCAGACAGCACAGACATCCAAAAGACGTCCTAAAAACATCATAAAAACGTCCTTACGTCCTAAGTACGTCCAAAGTACATCCTTTGTATGTACATGTGCTGTTTAAGTTGTTTAGAATTGCAGCATTAGGCTGACTTTTCCCAAAGTCTGGTTAATCTAATTGACGATTAATTGAAGAATTACCAACAATTTTTAATTATGTAGTTTGTTGTTTGACAATAATTAAAATATCAATCATTCTGTATGTATTAACAGAATAGAGTAGTTAATACTTAATTCACAGCAATTTTAAATACCAGTTATAAAGAAAGAACATAATTTTCTAATAGTTTCAACAACAAACTATCTCTTGTTTTCCATGTTGTCAATTGTCAATTGAGTTAATAATCCACTAGTTTAATCAGAATTTGGAGAAAATCACTCTCAAAGTGGCTTTCACCAAATTCTGATTAACCTCTTCAGCGATGCATTTGTTAAACTCAGAAGAAACTCTTTTAATTTTAAAATAACATAAATATGACACTTATCAATTATATGACAAGATTTTTCTTTTTCTTATTATGGAATTTTGTAGTATATATTTATTCACAGTAAAATGTTCGTTATATCTTTGTTGCCCACACAATGTTTGAATTAAATACGAAAAATTCGACATATCTAAATGTACATATATATGTACATATATATGTCAGTCATCCTGAAAATATTAAATTAATCAATTATTAACCGACAGAATTTGCCAAGAGAAATTTCTAACTATATAATCTTACATCCAACAATAAAATTAATACTATATATGTCAGCAAAATAGAATAAGTAATATTTATATGTGTGTGAGTGACTTACACGACACACACATATATGTAGCAATTTTTAATACAATTTATTATTTATTAAAGAGAGAATTTTCTTAAATATTTTATATAATAATCACGTGTGTATTTTTTATTCTCATGTTAACAATTGCATTGACTGAGTTAGGAGAGTGACTTTCTTCAAACTCTGTTTAATCTAATAGACAATTGACAGAATTGCCAACAATTTTCAATTATGTAATTTGTCGTTTAACAATAACAAAAGAAACTAATATATACAATTCTATACATTTTATCAGAATAAAGTAATTAATACTTGATTAATATTAGTTTTAAATATGGATTACAAAGAGAATTATGAGAATTTCTTACTTGTTTTAATAACAAACTATTGTCTTTTACTATTTGTTTGTTGTTATTTATTCTTTTTTATTATTTATTTTCTTTTTAATTTTCCTTTTATTATTTATTTGTTGCATTATTATTGACAACTCTGCTTGCTCTGAATTTTAATTGTTCTTTAACTTAATCAGAGTCTGGAGAAAACCATACCGATTAACTAATAGAATTATTAATTAGGATTTAGTGAAAGTCACCTTTAGACATACATACGAGCTTAATTAATGTGTTCACATAATTAATAAAAAAAATTGTTTCCGCTATCCTACAGACGAGAGGAGTCGCATACGCTTGAGACGCCGGCATGGAGAAGCAGCTGGACAATCAGCAGAAAACCTGGAAAAAGAAAGGCATGAGGTCGAGCGCGAGCGCTACCGAGGTGGCGACGCAGTGCGTACAAGTGGTCGTACGATGCAGGCCGATGGACGAGCGGGAGACCGGCCGCGGTTACACCCGGGTGGTCGATGTGATCCCGTCCAGGGGTGTGGTCGAGGTGCGGCATCCGCGAGACGACCCGTCCAGCGAGACTGTCAAGGTGTTCACCTTCGACGCGGTCTACGACTGGCACTCCAGTCAACAGGAATTGTATGAGGAGACAGTTCGGCCGCTGGTGTCCTCGACACTCGACGGCTTCAACGGCACTATCTTCGCGTACGGGCAGACCGGCACCGGCAAAACCTATACGATGGAGGGTTCGAAGACGGACCATGAGAAGCGTGGCATCATACCGCGCTCCTTCGAACACATATTCAACCACATCGGCAGAACGGAAAACATGCAATACTTAGTGAGAGCTAGCTACCTAGAGATCTACCAAGAGGAGATACGTGATCTGTTGCACCCGGATCAGAGTCTACGCTTCGAGCTGAAGGAAAAGCCAGACACCGGAGTGTTCGTGAAGGACTTGTCGAGTGCCGTGTGCAAAAGCGCGGCGGAGATACAGCAATTGATGAACGTCGGCAATCAGAACCGGACGATCGGCGCGACGAACATGAACGAGCATAGTTCGCGTTCGCACGCGATCTTCATGATCACGATTGAAATGGGCGGTATCGGCGACTCTGGCGGCATCCGAGTGGGTCGATTGAACCTGGTGGATCTCGCGGGTAGCGAAAGACAGAGCAAAACCGGCGCCTCGGGTGAAAGGTTGAAGGAGGCGAGCAAAATCAACCTCAGTCTGTCGGCCTTGGGCAACGTCATCTCAGCATTGGTGGACGGTAAGACCACGCATGTGCCGTATCGGGACTCCAAACTGACGAGACTGCTGCAAGACTCTCTGGGCGGTAACTCCAAGACTATCATGGTGGCGAATATCGGGCCAGCCAGCTACAATTATGACGAGACCTTGACGACTCTGCGCTACGCAAACCGCGCCAAGAACATCAAGAACAAGCCGAGGATAAATGAGGACCCGAAGGACGCTCTGCTGCGGCAATATCAGGAGGAGATCGGCCGACTGAAGGAGAAACTTGCGCAAAGAGGCGTGGTGCAGAAGAAGAAGAAGAAGTCAAAGCGGAAAAAAGAGGACGAGGCAATCGACTCGGATTCTGAGGCGGACGACAGTCGGGGCGAGGACAATAACAAAGTAAGCGAGACCGACAAGAAGCTCATAGCGGAGCAGCTGAGAGCCGAGAAACAGGAAAACGAAACTCTCGTTCAGCGGATAAAAGACCTGGAGAGCAAGATGCTCTGCGGCGGCAAGAATATAATCGATCACACGAACGAGCAACAACGAGCGCTCGAGCAGAAAGCAGCCGAGATCGCAGAACGCAAGAGGCGCGAGGTCGAGATGCAGCAGAAACTAGAGGATGAGGAACTGACGATGGTGGGCGTGAGGGAGACCTACACGACGTTGCAGCAAGAGGTGGACGTCAAATCCAGGAAACTGCGCAAGTGTTTCACCAAGTTGCAAGCGTTGAAACAAGAACTGGAGGACGTCACGAGCGACTACAACCGGGACAGACGCGATCTGGAACAGGAGCAGCACGAGCTGATGAAGGAGCTCAAGCTCAAATACCTCATCATCGAGAACTTTATTCCGGAGGAAGAGAAGACCAAAATCCTGTCCAGGATCCATCTGGATGAGGAAGAGGACTGTTGGGTAGTGAAGGATCCAGAGCCGTCCAACATCGACACCATCAAACGCCCGACGTCCGTGCCAGGCGCACGCAGACCGGTCTCGGAGTATGCGCGGATCGCGCTCGCGATGGGACGAGGATGCCGTTACGCTGGTGAGAACATTCTCAATCTGGACCTTGACATGCCGGCGCGCACGACTCTAGACTACCAAGGACCGGCGATCGCGCCCACGATTCAGGCCGTGCTGGAGGAAGCGTTACGCGACGAGGGAGACATCGACGTGGACGCATCCAGCACGAGGCTGCGAGCCAAGCCGCGGCTACAATCGGCGCGAGTCAGGCCGAAGAGCGTCACCAAGGTACAGCAGATCCCGGCGCCGGTTTACCCCAAGACGAGAGGCCTCGTACCGAAGTAAACGATCAAGAGTCAAACCCCGACCACGCTTCTCTTTTCTTCATTCATGAGAGGGGATATGTACATATTGAATGAACGACGTGTCTTTAGTGCTTTATTTAATTGTTCGCAGATTCAAGGGGCGTGTTAATGCCTCTTACGTTGATGAAACCTCGCGTTGACAACCGCCGGGACAAAGAAGAGGGCGGGCGCGTCTTTGTAATTCTCTAGTCATTGTGCAATGCGTAAACACACGAATATGAAAAACATGAAATAATATGAAAAGCATGTAACTGTTGTGATAATACAACATGAAATAGATTCCTCGGATTTTTTAAATCTTCTTCCCTCCCAGATAGACAAATGTGTATGTAAATTTATCAGCAACTTTATCAATCGATTCGTAAAGATTGCGTCCCTTATGAATGATTTATGTGGCACTCATATTTATTACATAGAATGACGAAATAGAAATAATTGATCAAAATTTGCTCGGAATAATGTCATGTAAAATGTAACATGAAAATCTGAGAATAACTTTGAATAAATTTCTTCCCGCATCGATATAACATAGAACTCACATCACTGTATGATGTATATGCAATGATTAAGGCTCCCGGGTACTTGCATCGTCCATTTCTTTTTAATAACGTCAGAAGCGAGGAGACGCATGCTAAAATTTTTGCGAAATATATTGAAATAAAAAGATATATCCGTAAAACGATACTTACAATTGATCAAGCAAATCTCTAAGATAGTCTGAACATTTCCCTTTTGCTCTAACAATCAATAATTTTCCGTAAACATAATAGAAAAGATGTCTAAAAGATGTATGACAACGGTACATTATTGATTGTTACAGAAAAAGGGACTATTTTACAGATTTGCTCGATCGATTGCAAGTATCGCTTTACGGATATATCTTTTTATTTCAATGTATTTCGCAAGAATTTTTAGCATGCGTTTCCTTGCTTCTGATGCCATCAGAGATGGATGAGTAGTATCCAAAAGTCTCAATGCAATGCAATGCAATATGTTTGCCTTTAAGGCTCATGGATACCTACGTGGGCTGTCCTTATTTGATGTCAGAAACGAGAAATCATATGCTCACGATTCTTGCATTATATGTTGTAATAAAAAGATATATCCATATAATGACACTTGTAATCGATTCGGCAAATTTGTAAAATGCTCCGAACTCTTTTTTGCCGTCGTAATCATTAAATAGCTGTAAAAATTAACCAAAATAAAAAAAGTTTGGTTAAAACCTGAGTTGCATGTTGCACTCATTTTATAGCTATTTATCGATTTTAACAGCAAAAGAAGAGCGTTCGGAGTATTTTACAAATCTGCTAAATCGATCACAAGTGTCGTTTTAGAAATATATTTATTTCACATATAACGTAAGAATCACACATAGGATTTCTCGCTTCTGATGTCATCAAATAAGGACACCCTTCGCGAATACCCAGGGAATACTTGGGGCTCCTGCAGTTTTATTCTGTAACTTTCTGACAACAATGTCACTAGCATAGCATATCGTTGCGCAGCTTTTCTATCGTGTATTATATTTGCGCAACGACAACGTAACGATAATGACACTGTCGTTAAAAGTTATATAATTGCTATCCATTGGATAGTCACCGCGGCAATATTGGATTGATGACATCAAAAGCGAAAAAAACCATGCCCAAAATTCTTACACAAATCTAGGTTAAATAAAACGATACATCATTCAAATGACAATCTATTCTGCACACTTGTGAAATATTCTAGACACTCTTGCCAAAATAATTCTTACATAACCGCAAAATGCGACAAATCGCCTCGTTTTGACAGGAAATCGGCTGTACGATACTGAATACAATTGAAAAACTACTCATACGCATTAAATATCACGATAAGCACAGTGTCTGGATCATTTCCACAAATCTATAATTGTCACATGTGACATACACACATTGTACTCACTAATAACTATGGTTTGCAGGAAAAAATTGGTCCTCTGTTTACATTTTATATCTGTTCGTTTTCGATGAACTTTTGTACTAGTGCAATAAGCTAGAAAGAGACAAGTATACTTTCTTTAACTCTCTCTTGTTGCAATAGTCTGCACTAGTGCAGACGAATAGACCTATAGTCTGTTTTGCTGAACAGGTTGTACTAATTCTCTCATCTTTTTTCCACCAAGTTTTATCTGTATATCTATCTATTTTTAAGTTCGGAAAGTGTTCACTAGTTCAGTAATAGAAAACACACTCCTAATGTCTTGTCTAATATCGTTCATCATTTTGCCGTTTACAATCATGTTGCCATCGTTAACGCAAAGTTCTCAGCTAACTACCTAGGAGCCTTAACCCTTTACAGGGCACTGGTACGTAAATCATACTAGCAGCACAGAATTGACCGAGAGAATCGGGAGTGGTTCTAACGCTTTCCCTGAATGGTCACTGGTACAACAGTTATACTGGTTGATATCTCTTATAAAAAATTTTTTCAGTCTCAAAAATGATATTAAAATATCTTTAAGAACTATTTTAGTGAAGTTCAACAGAAAAAACTCATTTGTCATATTCAAGGAGTCTTGCCTTAAAGTAAAGGGTTAAATAAAATAATCGTAAAATTTCTATCATCGATTGTCGTGATGATCATGAAAGTCTATCTGGGCTGTTTTCTGTATCGCATATAGGGGAAAATGCAATCTTGTTTTTAACTTATATTTCTTCATTTTGTCATATTAATTTTACAGGTTTTGTTTGATGATTGTTAGAGCAAAAAAGTGCTTGATGTATCTTGGAGATGTGCTCAATCAATTGCAAATGTCATTTTTTGGATATATCTTTTTATTTCGACGTCCTTTGTAGGAATTTCAGGTATGCATTCTTGCTTTTGAATCATAAATCAAGATAATCGCGGCGAATAGCCAAGAGCCTTAAAATATGCCACTTCTCTTTCTTTGCTTTTCAACTTAAACTTCCTCGAATTTTATTGTTCATTCACCGTGTTAATAATTCTTCTGTGATTTGCGAAAACACAAAGTGTCTTCGAAATTTCTATATCTCATGAATTATTTTAAATTATAATGGAGAAAATTGGTACTATTAACACTTCTTATTCTATAATATTTATTGTAGAACATTAGAGTATCATATAATTATCAATGATAAATATTTTTTTTTTAATAACGTGTAATACTCAATGAGATATTCAATGAGATATTTGTCTTAACAATGATTTAAAATGTCTCTTTTTCTTTCGGTAATGAATTATTTCGTTTTCTTCTTTTTTTTTTTTCTTTTCGTTAAATGTCGCTGAAATTTCTACAGAAACCATATATATTGCGGGTCTCATTATCGTATTAAATATAATACAAATGATAAAATATACATTTTATATTAACGTGGCGAATGATATTACACGTACCTCCACGCAACAGTCGTCTGATTCAGTTTTACTTACTTTCGTTTGGTCGAGAAATCACACGATGTACATAACAGCATACACACTTCGATCACTCCGAAGCATATGTAACTCGCTCGAAAACGACTTACATTCAGCTCAGTGTACACCCAACTTATGCGACTTTCACTATACATACCTGCGCGCGCGTGCGCGCGCACGCACTAATGCACGCACGCACACGCACGCACGCACGCATACATATACGTAGCGCACACATAGAAAAAAAGCTTGTACGAAAACGCGAGTGCAATTTATGAACGTATAAAAGGAACGTGTGAAAAAGGTTTCGTAATATTGCATATTTCACGCATGCGATCGCGCACGCTCGAATTGTCACACGCCGCCAAAGTGAGATTCCGTCGTAGATGAAAATACGACAATTGTCTTATTTTTGTCTATATCTCAAAGTGCGTGAAAATAAGAGGGAAAAAAGAGAGAGAGGAATATATAGGAGAAGGAAAAATATATTTAAATATATATATAATATATAATATGTTTATATATAATATATAATATACATATTTAAATATATAAAACACATTTTTAAGTATATTACTTATATATTATATAACATACTTATACATATATATATATATGTGTGTATATATATATATGGCCGGTGTTCATAATCGGATCTTATATTTAAGACCGTCTTAAGTTCATCTTGAGATGATGTATGGGTTATTTCATTAGCTATTGAATATCTGAAGATAAATTTAAGACAAATATAAAATCCGACTATGAATACCGGCCTGTATGCGTGCATATAATATATAAAATGTAAGTCCGTACGTGAAGAAAGAACGAAACGCGTGCGAACGATGTAGAATTATCTAAGTACAACGTTACAATCGCATCGCAGGTGCTCGCATACGGGCAGAGAAACGAGGGACGAAATTGCGGTAGAATGAATCTGCTGCGAAGCACAAAATTCAGTCTGTCCCCCTTGGAGGAACGCGCAAAAATTCGCACGAACGACGCTTAGAAACTCGTACAGGCATTCGGACAATCGTACACGGAAAGCGAACAAGATGTTTACACTTGGAGAGCTTATATGGAGAGATCGACACGCTGGCAATGTATTATGGACGTACAACAAAGAGTTGCGATGCGGTCACAACTCGACGAACTGTGGCAGATGTAAAAAAAAACAAAAAAAACGACAATGGTCGATAGTGGTTCAGTAGAATCGCTGTTGCTGCATATAATTGTCATATGGCTGCGACTGCGATGGTGGAACGTAACCCGATGAATGCGTGGTCGACGGCGGCGCGTAAGAGCCGTAATTCTGATGAGGATATTGACCACCTGGCATCGACGACCCGCCGTATTGACCTTGAGCGGGCATGTTGCCGTAGCCTTGATAATTATAACTATTGTCCATGTACCCCGAATTATTAGGGAATATCTGCGGTTGTTGGTAATTGGGGAATTGCTGATTGGCCACAGTGGGGTAGGTCATTGGAGGCTGTTGGCCTGAAGGCCGTGGCTGATTATCCGGCACGAAGGTCTGATTGTAAAAGTTTGTCATGCCGATCGACGACACTTGCTCAGCAGAGTTCGCCGTCAGCGGCTTGTCATTATTGAGGCTCGTGTGCGTTTTGAGAACGTACTTATTCGGTAAGTCGCCCATTATGTTCGCGATCAGACGCTTGGTCTCGTTGAGTATCGCGTTCGGGTCGTTCGTTCTTGTGATCTCCTTCTGTCGAGGCGGCGAAGACCGTGACTTGGATCGTGATCGGGATCGAGAGCGCGACCGCGATCGGGACCACGACGTTGGTGACTTAGACAATGCGCGCGACTTCTTTGCTTTCTCGTTTTCACTCACGTTCTTGTCCGCCGCCTTGTAGATGTCCTCGAACGTGTAGTCGTCGTCATCATCCGACAGGTCTATCTTCGTTTTTGTCTTATCGTCATTGTCTTTCTTTTTGTCCTGTTGCTCGTCATCGTCGTCGTTTGCAAACATGTCCAATTTTGGCTTCCACTTGTCCTCCTCATCACTTGGATTCTGGTTGCTCTTACGAACCGAGAACGGAGAGAGACTCTTTCTGTTCTTACTAATGATGTTTTCGACCTCCGGGGACGGTGTTTTCACACTACTTTTTACCGACGTCGACGAAACCGTCGTACCGAGATTAACGAAAGCTCTCAATTTCTCCACTCTGCTGGGATCGCTCGCCTCGAGTTTCTTCAGAAAACTAATAAGACTGTGCTGTTCAGGCGTGCTGAGGTCTTTGAAGTTCTGCAGCATCGATTTGAGGTCGTTGTCCGACAGGTTCTCTACTTTTGAGCAGGCTTGCCGTTCGGTGGAATCGATAATTGTCTTGATGGAGTCCGCGGCTCGAGGAACCGCAGTGCCGCAAGTCGCCAGACCCTTCACGAAATCCGCGGTGGTGACGGGTTTGTCGCAGAGCTTTGACGCCTCAGCCATACCGACCACAGCGTTAATGAGAGTCTCCAGGTCTTCCTGCGAGACGTTCGATTTACCTTGCGCGACCAAAGCCGCCGCAATTTCTTGCGCGATCGCAACTTTGTCGACCGTTCCGACACCCGGTACGCTCACTGGTTCGGACTTGATCGCAGGTGCAACAATCTCCACCGGCCTCGAGTAGGCAGTTCTACCGATATAACTCGCGACTGGCTTCGATGTCTCCAAGAGCTCGCGCTCCTTCTTCTTCTTTTCCTCTTCCAGCTTCTTCTTGCTCTCGGAAGCTCTGTGCAACAACTTAGCGATATTCTGTATGGCTGTTTTCGTGGCGCTAACTGCCATCTTCTCCACCATGCCCGCGAACAGTTGACCTTTCAGCTTCTCTTTCACCGTTTCAAAAAGTACGCTCACTTCCTCGTCGAACAGCAACTCTTCCGCGGAATTCGGCTTTGCCTTCTCAGCCGCCAGAGCTTTCGACAGGAGCGACACTATTTTAGGACCGAGGGAACCCAGCTGCCCTTCAAGCGCCGTCAATAACCTTAATAAACCGACCACCTCGAGGTCTCCCGTCAACGTTTCCTCCGCAACTGACGGCGTCGGTGATTTCACAGAATCTTTCACAGGATACGGAGTCGCATAGTGCATCGGTCTGGTGCGAGTCGCCGTGCGTGGATAATAATGACTGTACAGGCTAGCCCTACCCTGCCCGTACGTTGGATACACGTAATCGCGATCCCGGATCTCGTGACGGTCGTAATAATCAGGTTTGATGGTTTTCGTGCCTACATATTCTACCTCGTCGTCACTATCCATCCGATGTCTTGAGCGCTTTGTTACGGGGGAGGAACGTTCGCGTCTCGGCGGGGGTACCCACTTCTCCGGTGGCTTTTCCTCGGGTAACTCTAAACGCTTTCGAATCTCCTCCTTTCGCTGCTGCAGCTGCTCGTTATGAATCTCGCGCATCCTTTTGTTCCAAAACTCTATCCACTCCGGCTTAAAATCGTGTTTGCTCGGATCGTTACCTTCGGCCTGCAATTCTTTGTAACGCCTGTTCCAGAATTTCTTCCACTCGTCGGGATAGGAAGGATGCTTCTCGGGATTCTTCTCGTGAAACTTTAGAGCACGATCCAGTGTCTCCTCGGCGCGCCTGATCTGCTCACGATATTTGTCCCACTTGTCACGTTCCCTAAGTGGTTGGATAGAGCGTGACCGTGACCGCGATCGCGTTCGCCCGCGCGTACGTTCCCGCGAATGCCGGTCGCGAGAATGCTGATCGCGCGAGTGTCGTTCGCGCGAATTCCGATCACGCGAATGTCGCTCGCGCGAATGTCGAGATCCACTATGATACCTTCCAACATGTCTCTCGGCAGAGCCCCTTCTTCTGTTTCGACTGGGTGAGTGCGATCTTGAACGAGATGGTGAGGGACTGCTGGAAATACTTGAGAGCGACGAAAGGGACTTGGTGTCGTCCGAGGGACGTTTCGGTAATTTCTTCGTGTTTTCATCGCTCTTCGACATAGGCTTGCGAAGGTTCATTTTGTCCTTGGTAAATATGCGGATCTTGAAGCCCCTAAAAATAAAAAGGATGTCTTCGAGATTTGAATATTTCGATTTCTGGAAATTATCTCTAGGAAAGAATATGATTAAACAGAAATATATTATCTGTTTTCGATAGTTTATACCAATGACACATATCCTAGACTAAACATTCCCTCCACAAGATAGATATTGGGAATTTGAGACAAAATGAGATAGTTGTCTTTGGGGTTGTTTCTTTCTTACTAGAGTTTAGAGTAGCTGTTAAGAGCCGTCATATGTTTTCTATAATAATATTAACAATACAATAGTAACAATAAATTTGTTATAAAGCTTCTTGTATCTCGCCACAGCCATGTTGAATTTGTGAATTTTTTTGTGACATCAGAAGCGAGGAACGATATACTGACGAATGTTGCGTGCCACTTTTAAATAAAAATAAATATGTACGAAAAAGCACTGAGACTGTTTGTGAAATTATTCGAAAGGTATCTCTTTCCCCTGACAATTAATAAATAGTTGTATAAATTAGTGAAATAAGACATGCAGACAAAATAGACTCATTTCATCACATTTCACCATTTATTATAGGATTATTTATTGATCATCAGAAGAAAGGGATACTCTTCGGACAAGTTTACAAATATGCTCTTTCGCCTGTATTTATCTTTATTCAGAAGTGGCACTCAACTTTCGTCAGCATTCCTCGCTTCTGACATGGCCGACGAAGCACAAGGAGCTAATTTAGTATAAGTTCAATATTTAACTTCACAGTATGTCTTATACCTGTTAAGGCTGATTCCATCCGACTCAAGTTACGCCACAAATGCGAAAGAAACCCATAATACTTTTAATACTTTTTTTTATGTTCCTTCCCCCCTCCCTTTTTTAAGAGTTTTAGCGACCTGTCTTCCATCTACAGTTCCCCTTTTAACAGTGAAAGGATTATATCAATGTGTGTCGGAATATCGGCTCTTGACAGCCGTTTTAAGCTAGACTCTAATTATTAGAATGAGAAAGGATCAAGGTCCCAAAACAGCCATCTTACTCTGTCCAAACTGCCAATGCCAAATACATATAGCAAATACATATAAATACTTGATCTATGCACATATGTCGTTAGTTTGCGCTTAAGCATAAATAACAATTATCCTACGGACTCAACTGTGAATCAAATAAAGAGGCTCTTAGATCTTTCTAGAGATAATATGCTAAAATGTCTACTTAAAAGAGCGTCGCACAGATTTCTTTGATTATTTTTCTACCGCCAATTGTATGTTTTGATCATACTTACGATTTCGTAATGTCTCCTTTAGATTCTATTTTTTTAGGCGACTTTTCCTTCTTCTCTTCCTTTTTGTGTTTCTCATCAATCTTCCCATCAACAAGCTGAGGATCTTGACAGAAATTGATAGTTCAAAAATTGCAATCGCGACGATGCTTAGTCGGAGTATGCGATTTAAGTTTGCAGAGTACATCTTATACTCACCTTTTCTCTTGACATTATTACCATTCAGCTCTGTCATTTTTTCATCAAAATTTGTCACCCATTTTACATCATAAACTTCCATAAACGTACACTCTGGCGTTTCCCTGTATACAGGAGAAACAGCCGCATTGGTCTTTACAATAAACGTGAAACGTACAGCTAGGATTATAGAAATCTCGGTAAGCAAATGTTTATAATTTTTAAGGTGCATACTGAGTATGCACAAGTGAAATCAAGGATTCTCGCGCGATGACGAAACTTTTATCAGCGATATAGCTCGTAAGTAGCGATACAGAACTTACCTAAAGTGCACGTCCTGATAAACCCTCTTGATGTACTGCATTTTATTCTTTTCGAACTGTGTCTTGTCCACCAGTTGCGGCTTCATTCTTCCGAACTTCTCTTCGATCTTCTTCGCCACTAACACCGATATCTCATTGGCCCCGCGCTTATAATTCGGAGTGCGCGGCAACTCCGTGATTGCTCGCGATATGGTCGGGAAGTGCCGATTGAGATACGTGATTCGGTGATTGTAACTGGTAATGTGCGCCATTACCGTGCGCGGGTCACCGCGCTTGTCGCACAAAACACACGTGTAACTCGGCTCGCAGGAGTCATTGTCCACCAACTCTAGGAGGTACTCGAGGCCGACTAGCGGCGAGCTTTGATGTCGATCTAAGCTCATCTGTATCGATGTGGTGCGCGTGATCTGGTCCTCCGTGCCGGGTGGTACTGGCTCGCCGGGTGCCAGCGTGTCGCCGATCACGGTGGACTGCACGGGCGTTATGGTCTTGTTGAGCTCCGGCCGTTTCGACCAAAGCAGCACCGGGTACGGCCACTCGTCCAGTTTCATTTTGTGTCGATTGCACATATTATGATTTATCAATTTATGCGCCCCGTACAGGGCAATGTTACAGATATGACACCATATATCACCGTCTTCGGTATCGGAGTACACGGGTCTCAGTGCACCATCTTCGGCGGAGACGCTGCATCGCATTATACGCTTGCGTTCGTGCTCTTCCTATAGAACATAAACGATTAACGATTCGTGAGGCGGACGATCTTCCGTTGTCGAATGCTTAAGCCTCAAAGCTGTAAGCACGCAATTACATTCGCGGCGAAGCGCGTTTGGATTTTTTCTTTCTTTTTTTGTTAGAGGATGGAAAATCGGTAAACCTCGTGTATCTCGTAGACACGGCGCGTTCGAACACGGCGCGATTACAGTCGATCCGGCTGTGCGTATACATTTGACGACTTGTATTCCCTCTCCAATTGTTCGATTCACATACAAATAATACGTGACGAAATCGATCGTTCCTGCAACCCACATCCCATATCTTTCCTTTACCTTTTCCTTGTCCTCTTCCGACAAATGGGAAGGGCTACGTCCCTCGATATCAAGATCGTCAAAATTCTGCATGTTGTGGCCGTAAGTGGACGAAGTCTTCGTAATATTGTCTGAAAATATCGAGATCTTATGAGGCCAAGGAAAGACAACGTAGACCAACGATTTGTATCAAGGCTGACTCAAAGCTGCAATCGTATTTCACTTACATACAAGAGATCTGAAAGTGACAAAAATAACTTTAGATTCGTATGTACACGTGTGTGGGTGTGTGCGTATATAATAGATTCAATGAGATTTTAGAAATATTAGAACCAGTAAACATTAACTAAAAACATCATTATATACAATGTTATAATATAAAAATATTTAATAATAATATAAATATTTCCCACTAAACAATGTAAGTGCAATGTAACATGTATTGTGTGAAAGCTTGAATAATAACTATTCATTATCATATTCATTATGATATTTATCAGTTTAGAGTTAACCCTTAAAGTGAATATATATATAAAAATTAGTATAACAAAGACATTTGGAGTTAAACAAAATTCGTCGGTTATAAATATTTTAAATACAAACTCCCAAATCTCTTTTTATAAGAAAAATAACAGAATTATATCTTTTTATCAAAAAACTCATTTTTTACTCAATTTTGTTTAAAAAGCCACTAAAAATCATGTGAAAATCGTATATACAACTAGTAATATACAACATAACACATAACTTTTTATTTTTAAGTAATCTCAAGTTGGGACTTGAAAGAAGCTACATGACCTTTCAGTTTTTAAACGATCTTAAATTGACGAAAAAATGCGTCGGACATGACTGATCCTCTTACTTACTATCAATCCTTTCTCTACTAATTTTGTTTCTTAAGGGTACATTATTCTTTTCATTTCATTAAATACTGTTAGTATAATATAGTTTTAGCAAAAAACTAAAAATTTTATGTTTGACGCCAAAGAGATAGGATGCTGATGTCTTACTGAAGTTTTTGAGTATATTTGTCATAACAGGGTAATAAGTAGAGTGATAGTTGATGTTTTAAATGTGCCAAAAAAAAAACTGTTTATTCAAGTCGAAAATATTTATATTCATTATAATGGATAAGTTAAAAAGTTAATAACTTTTAATTTTATTATTTTAAAATGCATTAACTTATGAACTTTTTATATAAATTAAAATAATTCATCAATATTAAAATAATTGAGGGTTATTTACAATTTAGAAAAAAAAATCAGAAATAATGCCAACAGAATTTTTTTGTCTTTTTGAACACCAGTATTTTTTCTTCTGAAATTATGAACACAAAACACAGTAAAAAAATATACCACATTATTTCACATAAATTTAACCTACAATTAAAAAATTAATTATGTAAAAAATATATACATATATTGCTGCATAATTAACTTTTAACTTTAATTCAAAATTTTAATTTTATTTTTAATTAAATTACTTTTCATGAAACTCTTAACCTAAACAATTTTATAAGCTCGACTTCAAATTTGACTCACAAGGAACATTTGCGAAGTGTGTGTCTCCGATTTCAAACATGGAATATTTATAGGATGGCCAAAAATAAGAGACCTATATATTTTTTTGGCTTAGGTTTAAGAGGTGAAACTATCCCTCAAAATTTCATGCCCTTTTTGCTATCTCTGTAACTATTGGAGATAAAGAAAAACTTTTTAGCCCATTTTATTTTTTATAAAAAATAGCATAACTTTTGTCTAAAAAGTTTTTTTCTATTTCCAATAGTTACAGAGATAGTAAAAAGAACATGCAATTTTGAAGAGTAGTTTTACCCCTTAAACCTGCGCCATGGCTGATAAAAAAAATGGATTTCTTATTTTGGTCACTCTATAAATATGCCAAGTTTTATCGAAATCGGAGACACACACTTTCCTTGTCAGTTAAAAAACTTAAGTTAAAAATATTAATTTATCCAACCCTGATTGTATGTGTAACAGTTATATCATTAAGTAGGAAATTATAGCATAGATATGATATTACTGTTAGTTAATGTTTACTCAGAATCCTGTAATAAATACAAATTAACATGTTGCATAAGCCAACTCTGAAACTTCTGGATAATATTAAAATTATGATTAATGTATTATGATTTACTTGTAAATTAATTGTAGACAAATTATCCGTACTTACTTACCATCATTGTCATTTGTTGTATATGCTAATATTTAATTTGCCTCAATAATATTTGTGTTATATTCTAACTTAATGCAATCAGAATATTTCTCATTGTTTAGCTCTCAAACATTGAACATCATGTACATCAATATTCATGCTTAATTCTATTCTAAAGAATATGATGAAACTGATTTGAGGGGACATACATGTGCGTGAGACATACATTTGAGACACACATGACACAATATGAAAACATTACTCGAAGATCTCCAATGCTTTCAGCAAGCTTCATCGATCTGTCCCAAAACACTGATTCTATCATAGTGATACATTTATATTGAGCTACATGAGAGATCTAATTTGCATATTGCGTTTTACAATAGTTATAGATAGAATACAATTTCTCACAGAATTCGAATAGGCAGTAAAAGTTCCAGCGCGCAAAAGGAAAAGAGCGAGTATGGTATAGTGTGTTTATTTTATCATGCACACTTGTTGACAGCCACGTCGCTATTTACTATCTCGCTGGAGTACAGAAAACGGTCCTCCAGCTACTTACCAATCTTGAGAATCATAACCTCAGAAAATCTCACCGAAGCGTCCCACTAACAGGAAGCACAAATACCACAGAAACTGAACTGATTCTCCAACGGAACACAAGCAGAGGGCAAAGTTAGGAGACCTTCCCAACTTTGCTAAATCAATATTGACTACCGATTGCTGATCGGCAACTGACGAGAAAGATACTCCGTCAATACGTTAATGATGTTTTCGCAAACACCGCGCGCATCTCACAGCAGGACTGCGCGTGCCATCTTTTTTAGCTTGTCCCGAGTAGACGGACCGATTCAGTTTTTAATCACCAAAAATAATCGTCCGATCGAACGGGCACGAAAAGGAAGGCTAAGACACTTCGCACCATCCTCGCGTCGTAGAGGCGAAACGCGCACAGAAATTCGGCAACGTGAGAAACCGCAGCTGCGACAGCACGGAAGAATTGTTTCTCGAAAAAAATGGAATAGACGCATTGTTATAAAAACGTCGCCTCGGCACCTCACACATCGCGATGCCGACGATGATCCCGTCGTTGTTTCAGTTTCATCGTAACGCTTGCGAGCAAATGAGGTTGACTTACCGTGAGTGCTGAGAACGGTCGCTCGTGGAGTCAGACGATCGCTCAGTTTCGTTCACGGAAAATACTCGTAGCCATGTGGTAAGCGAGAGATCGTTTCTGTGCACGTTACTTGACGGCTAGCCCGGTTAGGGTCTTGCTCTTTTTCAGTGAGTTTCATTGCACTTTCTGCACTTGAAATAAAGTAGGTGTAGTCGACAGCCAAAACATATCAACCTATGAACATAGGAATATCTGTAGATCTAGGTTCAGGTTCAGGTTTATAGCGAATACGGTAGCTTGCACTAGTGCGCACTGAGTGCGCATTAAGGCTTGTTTACAGTACATTCTTATATTTAAGATCATGTCTTAAATACATATTTAAAAACATTTTAACTAATAAAATGATTCGTACGGATGTTATACATATCATATTATAGTTAAAAATATTTGAGAATTTATTTGAGAATTATTTAAAACAATCTTTAAATATAATAACATACTATGAACAAGCCTTAGTGCGCACTCAGTGCACACTAGTGCAAGCAACCGAATTCGCTATTAGATTCACTTGCTGGTTGGGCCTTTGACTATGAGTGTTTTCCAATTGTTTAACACATCTTGACACACACGTACACAAACCAGTTTATTAATCACATATTATCTGAAATAGGTTGTTGGTTGTTGCTTTGGTTGTGAAACTAGTTCATTGATCACCCAAAAAAACTTTACGGTAATCTGCAAATTGTTAGCTTGCTTGCTTTAGTTCAGTATTTCAGTTTTATCCAAAATTATATCCTTCTATTAATCCTCAGAAAGAAAAGAGATAGTTCCTCAAATGCACTTTCGTTGCTACTAAACACTATGGCCGGTATTCATAGTCAGATCTTATATTTAAAATTGGTTAAGTTCATCTTTAGATACTCCGTAGCCAATGAAAAAATCCGTACATCATCTGAAAATAAACTTAAGCGGTCTTAAATATAAGATCCGACTATGAATATCGGCCTATATCAGCTAAATTATGCTGCGTTCGGAAACACACACTGCGTGCACACTACTAGACAATAACCGTTGGAGTGAGCGAAATACAAGAGTGAGATAAAAAGAGAGGGAGAGTACTCGAGTGGCGTTTCCGAACGCAGCCTTAATTGGTTCGATTCCCCAAACCATGCGAAGATCAATCCTCAGTAAAGCCAGCGACACACGATGCTTGTTTTCGTACTGGATTGCTTGCTGGATGGAAATACTCTATTTTTGATTGGTGTATTTCCATCCATCTTCAGAAATGCACCAATCAGCAAGCAATCCAGCATGAAAACAAGCACCGTGTGCCGCTGGCTTAAGTCAGATTCCCTTTGCTTGCGCGGGCAATTCAAAATTACATATTCCGTTGACTCTGGCAAACCACATTCACAATACGGTTGATCACAAATATTTTTATCATATAAATGTTGCGCTACCTGTGTGTGATGAGTTCGTAAATGTGATATCATAATTAATGTTTCTCTATTAAGATAAGCATGTTGTAAAAATCAAGGCTCCGTATGTTTTTTTAATTCGTGTTCTATGGAAATACCTGAAACCTTTTTGCTCCGAAGTATCATTGAAAAATTGTGCAATATTCGCATCCATGCGATCTCTAAGCATTCTATGAATAGTACTCGAGAATAAAACTTTTTTATGATCTTCTGTTAAGTATATTCCACGAGCAGCATTTTTAGCCAATTCATCAGCCCGTTCATTGCCTCTAACTCCCGAATGTCCCGGAATTCAAACAAACACAATTTTAAAACCTTGTTCAATTAGGTTTATATATATATCTTTTATAATATATATTAATTCATGCTGTTTACCAGCTGAGTCATATCTACCCAAAGCCGCAATCAGACTTCTCGAATCGGTGGCTACCCTTATAGAAATATCATACTAAGAATCATTGATAATTACTTATTATCCAGTATTTTTAATACTGAAAATAAGTAATTATCAATGATTCTTAGTATGATATTTCTATAAGGGTATAACCACCTTTTTTTGTCTGTGCATCGAACACTGCAACCAAAGCGTGTGCAACCGCCGTAGTTTCGGTCTCAAAAATTGATAAATCATTGGCAAGTTTATAACTAAGAGAAACAGAAGGGAAGGAGGAAAAGACGGTGCAACCTACCCCCGCGGCCATTTTTGAGCCGTCTGTATAAAAAATACTATAATTAATATATTCTTATTTAACCAGCATTTGTCTAAAATGGAAATTCAGTTTATCAATAACTTCAACATTTTTTACTGCTTGGCTATTGTTCTGTGTAAGCGAATGAAATAAATTCCAACAGGAATCTCCAATATTTACATTAATAGGTAATCGCCCAAATATTGACTCCAAATAAAAAACCAAAGGAACTGGTAAATTAGATGTATACAAGTGGCGATGAAATTCCAAAAACGTAACATAAATTGTATAAAAAAATTGTTCACTTACACATGACCGAAGATTCAAGTTCCTGTTATATAAACACCATGCTAAATCTCTTACCGGATGCTCCAATATCATAAAACGTTTTGTTAGAAATAATCTACAGTTGAGCTCTCTCCGCATAATCAAAGGAGGCTCTCCTGCCATGTGAAAGAACATGGAAGAAGAACATTCGTAGGTGTCGTACTCATTACTCCCAAAACGATACTCAAAGCTTCAAATTGTAACCTATCTAAAATTATCGCAACATTTAGCTTTAAATCTACGAAAGCAGGCGACCCGTATTCCAAAGCGGATCTAATCCAGCATTTGTAGACATTAATTAAATTACAGGGGTGCGCGCCCCACTGCAAACTAGAAATTGCCTTCAAAACTGATAATTTTGACCTCACTTTTTTCTTAATCTCAACACAGTGTTTTTTCCAACCCTTATAGAAATATCATACTAAGAAATACTGAAAAATTATTAGTGATTAAATATTACCAGTAATTCAGTAATTTTTTGGCCAATACTTAATTTCTGGTGAATACTGATAATAAAATCACTGTTAAATATTGATAGTAATCAAATACTGAGAATTATTATGCAAAGGTAAAAAATGAGAAAATCATAATGTTTACAAAAATATACTTATATTCCTAATTTTCTCATGTCTCATAAACTACTAGTTATCGAAGATTGCCAACACATTCCAAACTTTCATGAATCCTCCTGCGATAATTTCGATCCCAAGCGGTATACCGCTGGCACCCATCAATGTTCTGACCGCATTAAACTGTTGCTTAACCTAACGATCGAGCGCGCACGCGGTGACCCCTTATAGAAATATACTAAGAATCATTGATAATTACTTATTATTTAGTATTTTTAATACTGAAAATAAGTAATTATCAATGATTCTTAGTATGATATTTCTATAAGGAACTCTGATGACTCCAACGATGTTCTTACAATTCTTATATAATGTATCCTTATAGTGTTTACAGTATATTATAACATACTTAACAAACACCAAATAATAGTTATATAATTTTTACTTGTTGTTTATTATTGGATAATTTGTTAATAGATATTGAAACAATGCAACATTCGATATGCGGTGAATATTGATGTAATGTAGTGAACCAGTGATAATTACTTTTACATTTTTAACAAAATGTTATAATGATTAATCCAACAAAATAAAATTAAAAAATCCAAGAAAATCCAAATTAAACAAATTGAATTACTAAATTTTGAGAGAAACTTTTAAAAAATATTATTTAAAACAATAGTGTTGTTTCATCAAATGACATGATTTCCTTGAACGAAATAAAAGTTTTATTTTCATCATTTTAAAAAATAATGTTTCGTTTAAGAATATAATATTTTAATAAAATAAAAAAAAAACCACAAAATTAAACAACCCTTATAGAAATATCATACTAAGAATTATTGATAATTACTTATTTTCAATATTAAAAATACTGGATAATAAGTAATTATCAATGATTCTTAGTATGATATTTCTATAAGGAAAGTACGAATATTAAATCTAAAGAAAGTATTTTCTCCGAAAAACGGTATAAGAAGTATAAAAAATATGCAATAAGACAAATTAATGACTGCCACTAACTATGAGTGCTATTCTAAGTACTATTCTATAAGTATTATTGATGTAAAACATTACTGAATTTGAAATACAA